CTGTCCGGTCCCTCTGGAAGCAGCGCAGAGTCTGACCTCACTTCCTCTTCCACCCAGCATCCTATCCTGTTTATTCCGCCCACCTATCTTATAACCTCTCAGGGCCAGCAGTTTCTTTATTACTCAGCCAATGAAATCAACAGATTGATATATGACACTCCCACATCAGAGAATGAAGCTCTAACAATAACAAGTCCTTAGCAAAAACCTCATTCTTGCTTTAATCAATCCACCTTCTGTCTTTCATGCTGATTATATTACTAAAAGTTTTTTGTTCTGTTTTGTTTTTACAAAGGGGCTAGAGAGATGGCTTAGCAGTTAAGAGCACTTGCCACTCTTTCAGAGGACCCAGAACGTGGTTCACTTCCCAGCACCCATTATCAGGCAGCTCACAACCACTCTAACACGTTTCAGGGGCTCTGGTGCCTCTTCTGGCCACTGTGGGTACTGCACACTTGTGAAGCACACACATACAGGCAAACACTCACACGTACAAAATAAAACAAATGGGGGCTGGAGTATTCACTTAGTGGTTAAGAGCATGGACTGCTCTTTCAGAGGAGCACAGAAGACTAGAATTCAAATCCTAGCACCTCCATCAGGTGGCCCACAACCACTTGTAACTACAACTCCAGGGGATCCAACTCCCCTGGGCCACACACACACACACACACACACACACACACACACACACAGAGAGAGAATTAAAAACACACACAGAATTAAAAATAGTAAAAGTTTAAAAAAATAAATCTTTTAAAACCTGTTATAAAACAACCTAATAGGTATTTTTTTAATGTTCCATAACAAAATATAAACAAGGCAAGGGCCGAATACAATCTAAATTACATTGGTGAATTGCCATGTGCTTACCAAAAAGGGGACTCTGGGATTAAGGATGGCCCTCTTCTCCCAGACTCCAGCATGTTTACTTCAGATGTCCTCCAAGGCCCCCTGTCTTGGGCAGGCTGGACCAGTAACTATGTGGCCGAGAGAAAAAAGAGTAGCTGAGGGTATTGAAAACATCGCACCTTTGGGAACAGCTAGAAGGAAAGTCATTTCTGGCAGTGTGACTGGTGTTTATCTCTTGGTATTAAAATGTCTGCATTGAGAATGGGAAGCCAACTTTCTGGTTGCCCTGCCCGGGACTCTGGCTTGACTCTCTGTGGCCTTTCCAGTCAGCCCTGCTGGATGTTGCAAGTGCCTACTCTGGTGATGTCTATTGGTCTGTCTACTTCTATCTGCTGCCTGCTATTTTCCTTCTACTTTTGCTTGCTATGCAATTAATAAGCTCACTCACTCAAGAAGAATGAGTGAGTGTTGCCGACCATCCTCCGTACAGAGCACAGGGCATTGCTAGTCTCCCAGAATTGTGTCTTCTCCGATTCTTGCAGATGCTGTGAGGAGGATTTGGTAGAATTCCCAAGGGAAGCGATGTCATTGGACCATCTTTGTGGGGATGTTTTCTGCTGCTGGTTTAGTCTCAATGTAGATTTACCCAGATTCTCTGATCCTTCATGATTTAGAGATAAAAGCTTTTGTGTTCTTGGAATTTTCTTATTCCTCCAAGATAGCCAATTTTTTAGCATTAAGTTTTGTGCTATTCTGTTTTTTAAAAAAATTCAGGGTTTTTTTTCAAGGCAGGGTTTCTCTGTGTATCCCTGGTGTTCCTGGAACTCACTCTGTAGACCAGGCTGGTCTCTAACTCACAGAGATCTGCCTGCCTCTGCCTTCTGAGTGCTGGGATTAAAGGTGTGCGCCACCACCACCTGACTTTTTATTGTCTTAAGTGTATGTATGTGTGTGTGTTTGTGTGGGTGCAGAACAAGCAGTGGGGTTCCCTGGAGCTGGAGCTGCCTGATGTGTGTGCTGGAAATGGAACTCCAGTCCTCAGAAAAGAGCAGCCAGTGCCCTCAACACTGCCATGTCTCCAGCTAGTGCTCCCTCAACACTGCCATGTCTCCAGCTAGTGCTCCCTCAACACTGCCCTCTCTCCAGCTAGTGCTCCCTCAACACTGCCCTCTCTCCAGCTAGTGCTCCCTCAACACTGCCCTCTCTCCGGCTAGTGCTCCCTCAACACTGCCATGTCTCTGGCTAGTGCTCCCTCGCAATCCCTTTGTGTTTCTGCTGAATTGACCGTAATATTCTGCCCTGAGTAAGTTTTGAAGCAGGCATATGTGGCTGGGCTCTGGAGAGCCATTACTGAGTGACTGCAACCTCACTGAGCTTATAAGGGCTTTGTTTTATCTTACTTATGTTTTTTTGATTTGTAACCTGCCTTTTTTGATTTATTTGCATCAATATAAAATGTGTGGGCTCCATTTGTTGGTGTGTCATGTACAGTTTGGGGAAGAATTTAAGTAGTTTTTTATAAGGTTAATTTTATTGTTTTGGGGATAATTATTAATTTTTCCCAAAAAATTAGCATAAACTCTTTGCTATGGTTTGTTGTCTTTTTAGTAATTTTATCAGCAGTAAAAGGCACTACAATCTCTGCTGGGTCTATACCTGCTAGTTGACAAAAGTCTTGATTTTTCTATAATTAATTTAGAGACCTTTTTAAACATAAGTTTTAATATTTTATTTGGTTTATGTGGTAAAAAGATTTATTTTAAGATAATATCTTTCTTCTGCATTAAAATTTCTGTAGAGGAAAATTTGGAATGCAATATGACTAGAATACAGTTAAGTTTTGGATTTACTCTATCCACATATGCCTCCTGTAATTAATTTTTAACAATCATCTTTTTTGTTTTAGATGTTAATTTTTGGGGATAATTTAAGTTTTTTTATACCATCTAAGGTTTTGTTTAAATGAATTATTTGATCAGATGTTATCTCAACAGCCAGTTATAGACTGGAAATTTCTCCAAACAATCTTTGAAGGTCATTAAAAATCTGCAATCAATTTCTCCTAATTTGTGCCTTTTGTGTTTTAATTTTTTGTAAACCTATTTTTTTAACCTAGGTAATTGAGAAAATCTCCTCTTTGTATTTTTTAGGAACAATTTGTAATCTCCATTTAGGCAAAACCTTTTATTTTTTTAAACATTTTTTAAAGTATCTGCATTTGAATGAGATAGCAAAATGTCACTCATGAAATGGTAAATTACAGACTTAGGAAATTGTTTACGTATTACTTCCAATGGCTGACTGACAAAGTATTGGCACAGGGTGGGGCTATTGAGCATTCCCTGTGGAAGGATGGTCCATTGATATCTCCTAGTAGGGTGAGAATTATTATAAGTAGGCACTGTGAAGGCAAACTTTTCTGTCCTCTTTTTGTAAAAGTATAGTGAAAAAACAATCTTTTAAATCAATACCTAGAAGAAACCATCCTTTTGGTAGTAGAGAAGGCAGAGGAATTCCAGAATGTAGAGTGCCCATGGGTTGAATTACCTCTAAAGTCAACTCTTGACAGCTCTAAAGTCTGTCACCAGTCTCCATTTTCCAGATTTCTTTTTAACAACAAATACAGGAGAATTCTAAGGGCTGGTTGACTAATATGGTGAGCATCTAGCTGTTTATGTACTGGCTGTTTTAAAGACTGCAGTTTGTCTTCTGTTAAAGGCCATTGTTTAACCCATATTGGTTTCTCAGTTGACCATTTTAAAGGTAGGGCCATTGGAACCTCTGAAGTTGTTTTGTGTTTTTGTGCAGCCTGAATGACTGGTGACCTTTGTTTATAATACCTTATAATATCCTTTTTAGAAACATGAGTGTTGTCTGAGTTTTCTATCCTGCCCAGTTTCTGCAATCATTGTCCCAAAGAAATCACACAGAGGTCTACATTAGTTATAAACTGATTGGCCCATTCGCTCAGGCTTCTTATTAACTCTTATTACTTATATAGCCTATTATTAGCCATTATTTTTATCTGTGTTATCCATGCGGCCCAGTACCTTATTCAGTGGGGCAGTCACATCTTGCTGCTTCTGTGGTCAGATCAGGACTGCAGACAGAGCTTCCTCTTCCCAGAATTCTCTGTTCTCATTGTCCCGCCTTTACTTCCTGTCTGGTTGCCTCACCTATACTTCCTGCCTGGCTACTGATCAATCAGGTAAGTCATCCCAGAGTCTGGCACATACCGATGATGCTAAATTCTGTCCTTGTACCTTTGTCCCTGCTCATCAGTTTTGATGATTTTTTAAATCTGATAAAAATCTTTCTACTACTGCCTCTTGTAAAGTCTGAATCTTCTGTCTAGTGTTTTGTTTTAATGCCCTCATTGAGGATTTTAAGGTATGAAATTTGTCCAGTAAAGATAACATTTCATTGTTGAACATAATTTTGATGGCATGTATATTACCTTTCTGGAGAGACACCTTATCCATTAATTTATCATAACTTTTAAACAGATTTTGATTATTAAATTTAGAAGCACAAATTTTTTTTCAGATAATGTTTTAGCACCCTTTGACATTGACTGGATCTTGTTTGTCAAACTGATGCTATCCCTCTTCATAGTATTGATTTTTAAAACCAGCTGTTTATTATTAGTCTCTAAAGACTATGTCATTTTTTTTATAAGTGCCTCATTTTTGGCTTTGTTATTAAACCATTTTCTTAATGAGATAATATGAAAAATAAAACTAATACCTAGAATCAAATAAATGGATGTATAAGAAAAATCACATAAGCTTTGCAGAATACCATTCATAGCTTAAGTAAAATAATTATTAAGCTCCAAGATGATTGTATTATGAGTAATTTTGTAGTTTTTCAGATCTTACCTCCTGTAAGGCAATTACAGTGAGCTGGAGTAGGTGTAGTAACCTTTATTTGCCAGCAGGTGTTGCAGTTGGGGACGCATTTCTGAGAGATGCCAGCAGCATTGAACAGCATTGTGTTGCTTACTTAGGTACTGAA